TGATTTCATGAAGACAAATAAACAATTGTTAAACTGATTGTTTACTGAATCATGTGTGACAGGAAGCCAGCACCTCAAACTCCACTGAGGACACATTTCACAGTACATCACAACAGAGTGACTCTACCTATGGTAAGTTTAAACTGCTATTTGTATCTGTTTTTAGTTACTGATTGCACATGTTTTTTTTCATGCAGCACTGCACAGAAATGTGACGGCTGTTTTGGCAGAGGGAAATCCGGGAAGTCGTTTGTTTGACGGCTGGTTCGCAGATGATGGTCCTGCAGAGTCAAGGAGAGGAAGCTGTAAAACAGAAGAAAATAACATAAATTAATAACATTCCATGTTTCCTTTCTCTTTTTTGTCATTTACAGAAGAACATGATATGGGCGGCCATGGAGAGGAACTGAGAACTCTGCAGGACGCATTAGCCAATCATAAGCAGAACATCATAAATCTGAAGCTTCAACTCGAGGCAAAGGATGGCCAACTCCATCATCTTCAAAAGGAACTTCAGTATGCACACACCTCAGATGCTATAAACCCTGAGATTTTAAACAAAAGCCATGTGCCTGATTATTTCCACTACTGCACAGGGTTTTCTTATGAGCAATTTAACAGCTTGTGTCAATTTTTTAACATTCCAACTGATCCAAGTGCACCACAAACACACATTCCTCTCTCATACAAACGTGTCAATAATGAGATCAAACAACTTTCACTGCGTACTCAATTGTTACTGACCTTAATGAAATTAAGACAAAATTTGGACCACAAAGACCTAGCCTTCAGATTTAACATCCGTTTACAGAGTGTCAGCACACTGATCAACTCCTGGGTGGACTATATGTATGATAGTCTTGGCAAATTGTCTATTTGGCCACACAGGGATGTTATTTCCGAGAACATGCCAGCTAAATTTAAGGAAGAATTTCAGAATACTTTTGCCATCTTAGACTGCACTGAACTTAAGATTCAGAGACCAAGCTCACAAGTGTTTCAGAGTCAGACTTACTCCACCTACAAGTCTACTAACAACCTTAAGTCTCTAGTGGCCTGTGATCCATGAGGTGCAGTCATTTATGTGTCTGCCCTCTTCACTGGAGCAATTTCTGGCAAAAAGATTTTCAATGAGTGCAACATCCTTGATATTTTGAAGGGGTACATTCAGTGTGGCTATCTCAATGTAGGAGATGGCTTGATGGTTGATAATGGCTTTCTAATAGAGAAGGAAGTTGAGGAGATTGGTTTGCAACTTAACATTCCTCCTTTTGCAAGAGCAAACAGACAGATGCCACATGCAGATGTTGAAATGACCAAAAGAATATCTAAGCACAGGGTTCATGTTGAAAGAGCTATTGCAAAGATAAAGAAGTTTAAAATTGTGTCAGGCCAAATCTCGATTTCCCGGCTTGTGAACATAAATCAAATATGGTATGTAGTCAGCATGCTGTCTAACGTCCAGCCACATATCATCAAAGATTAAGGTTGTCTGTGTGTAGAAGAGCTGAGTGGTCAAGGAAGATCACGCTGACGTGGTGCAATGTCCTGTACATACAAGTTGAGTGAATTTCATATAAAGTACACAATAAAGATTATCTACTTTAATACTGCTTCATCTCATTCATTTACCTGATGGCTCAAACCACTTCCTAGATGGTATCTCTCTCCTACAGTTATGTCCACAGGGGGTCTGTTTACCAAGTAGCTGATGGGTGCTCCTGTCTGCCTTTTTAATAAAGCAATTTTCTCCTCTGTACCTGAGAAGGTCCTGATGAAGAATACCCTATCAATACAAAGCTAGGGGTTTTATATGACAAAACTTTGCTGTACTTGGAAACCTGCCTCTCTAATGTTATGGTTTGTATATTAATAGTATTGTTTTATTTTCATTAGGCTATTGATTGAATTGACATTATTGTTTATTATTTTTATTCTCCTTAATGTAGTCTTACCAACATTTTAAAACTGTTCATGGTTCATTTTAACTATTGTATTGTTTTTATTTGTTTGTCACTTTGGACAAAAATGTCTGCCAAATCCCATAACTATAACCATAAACATAATTTTCAACTTACCTGCTTCCTGCATACCGACAGTCGATTGGTCGCCGCATACGGTTTTCATTGGCTTTAGCGACAACCACCGATGATATTGGCACTGCCCTTATTTTGCTACCCCTTGGCTTGTGCCACTGCTGTGGTAGACTCGTGCAGGAGGACTTTGTGTGTGTTGTTGATGATGAATGGCTCAGCTCAGCATCTCTGGCTCGTGCCAGGTCCAAGGCATAGATTAGACCCACAACGTGTGAGCAGTAGCCTGGCGCGATAAAAATATAAGCGGGAGAATGTTATCATTGCAAAGTGGTCAGGCTAATGTCTTGTGTTTATTCCACAAGATTTATGGATAAGCTGTTTGATTTATAATTATTAGATTATTTTCAAATTTCACTTACCCTGCTGTGCATGAACATAGCTGTTCCTCAAT